GAGACCATGGGGCCATCGATTAAATTCAAAGGTTCTGAAGTGATGCATGCATCTGTCGAACTTTGGTCAAGATGACATAGGAAGTAGGCACCCTGGAATCTGCACCAACGCTTTCCATCTCATCTCCTAGTTGCCACACGCTATGTTGGTGCACTACTCCTAGGTCATGTTGTCAAAAAACCTCTTCAAAGCATGCAATCTAAAAGATTTATGTGTGTGCCAGGGTCATTTTTGTATGTTTTGACCTGATGAGATAGGAGTTGTGGCGTAAAGGCTGTTCCATGATGACATAGGATTCTTTTTTTCCCACCATACTTTCACAACTCCTATCTCATTTCCCGGTAGTATAAGGGCGTGTCAGTTGCATGCGCCCTCTTCGGAATTCTTTGAAGTTGAAAAAATGCCAGAATCGGATGGCAGTTCGGCTGTATAGTTTCCTGTTCAAGTTCACGTCTATCTGGCCCCGGACATCTGAATGGCAGCCTTCACTTCTTCCAAAATACCTATGTTTTGAAATTCTTCATGGTTGCTCAGTCTGCTGTGTCGCTACTGTATTGCACCTCCCCTTTGTTTGCCTGCCTCCCTGTGCCGGATTGTCCTGCTGCCTGGCTACGATTTGAGATCGTCAAAAGAGAAATCATGGTTGCAGAAGCAGGTGGGAGACGGATTTTTTCGGCTAAATCGCTTCGTGTACATGAAAGCCGGTCGTTGTGCTGATATGTGCTGACTCATTTCTCGGGGTTCCATGGTGTTGGGAGCATGTTGTTGTGAGTAAATGTGGGTCCATGAGCCCCTGAGAAACCCAAACCACAAGGGTGGATTCATCAGTCCTTGTGTGCATTCCACCAGCAATTTGTGTGCAGGAGGAACAAGAGGCGCGAGAACAAGAGAAGAAAAAAGACAAATTACACAAGAAGGAACAATCTGAATTGAGCCTTGCTCGCAGCAATGTTGGTATGAGTGAACATCTACCAATGCGTATGGAACTATTTCCTGTGATGTTCATGATCATTCATTTGGGCAGATGGCCGGGTAAGTGGAGGGCGCTCCACAAGCTCCAAGGCATGGGTTGGAGGAGAGAATAGGCGTTCTGTTACACGCATCGACATTGCGACACCTGAGCTGGTACTTTACAATGCTGGAGAGATGTGAACATGTTTGTGTTCAGTTGTGACCAATCGGGCGTGTGACACCAAGGAGTAACACACTTCGAAGGAAGTCGCAAGTTGCCAAATATGCCGAACAGAGTTGGTTGAAGCCACTCTGGATCACTCAATCAGCAGCCTTTGATCTTGGGTTGCAAATGCGGATGGGAACTGAGTAGAGTACTGTAACAAGGGCATCGCTACTAGGGGCAAGGGTATCGCTACTAGCAAGAAGCAACTACTAACAAATGCATCGCTACTAGTAACAAGGGCATCGCTGCTAGTTTCTTCTTGCTACTAGCAGCGATGCACTTGCTACTAGTCCCTTCTAGTTCGTTTAGTGTACTGACGTCTTCCTTGGTGCGTCCCTGCGCAGATCTTGGGTGGCAATCTCGCTGGATGGTCATAGGTTTATCACTTCATGGCAACTCATTCAGTGAGTGGCCAGCAACGTGAAATTCCATGCATTGTTCCGTAGTCCTCAAGTGCCTTGGCGACTTGATTGCAATTTCCAAGGAACTGACCTTTGCGTTGTGTATCCTCTTCCATGCAGTTACTCGAAGCAGGGCCTGACTTTGGGGGATTGAGCGAGAACGTGCGTGTGTAGTGTAGAATCAAACAGTTTTGGGAAAGTTACTAGGTATGTGTCCGAATTAGAGTGTGCACGTCTTTGAGAGTCTCGCATTGATTTGTTCCAGTGAAAGATTGTCGTGCCGGTGTCCTTTTGTGTTTCTTGGGAGATCAAAACATTCGACAGTGCAAATGATTTGGAGCCCCTCGAGCGACACTGCTGTCGGCCATGAGACTAAATACTTAAATACAATTGATCCCTACTGATCATGTTTGTCAGACCCGCCGCAGAGTTATCTCCGTCATCCCAAGGAGATAACCAAGGATCACCAAGAGCCTTTGATGTTCTTTGCACTCAGGCTTTGATGGCCGGTGAGTTGCAGTATCGTGCTATGGATGTTGGTTTCCATATCAATTACGAGCACTATACCATCAAATCTCATGAGGCGGGTTCCGCCGGTTCCGGCGGGAATATCTTTGTATGGAGGTCCTTAAAGGATCTTTAAAGGTGTCTCCAACTCGCCAATGCGCTTAGTACAATATATAACTAGTTCTCAACTTAAAACACGTGTTTGTGTGTGAAAAAGGAGAGGAGTCCTTCACCCCTTCACAGTTGTAGACCCACCACGGAGTCACAGAGCACGAAAGTTGGGTCGCCACCAAGGCCTTCCCAGGGATGAAAGAGTTCTTCGACGTTTGCGAGTGGATCTTTGGAATTTTGTTCTGGGCCTCTCGGCGCGAGACCAGACCATCCGATGTGTGTTGTCCTGCACTTTGCGACCATCCTAAGATCGAAGCGATTCTCAAGCTCATGTCCTTGCGCAACGCATTCTTCAAAGAGGCTTGGGCTGCAGAAAAGGAAGCTTTGCAGAGCAGTGAGCACAGTGGCGTTCCATGAAACCATTTGACGACCAAGCTTACTTGTTGTTTTCCATTTGACGACCGCATGGGTGGACCTTGCGGGTTTGTTTGGACCTTGCATCCAAACGTATTGAAGGCTTGAGAGGACTGGTTCCTTCCATAGAGATCCACACTTCCGCGCCCATCAACCAAGGAGATGTGGAATTGTTTCGATTTTTTATTGCATCTTTGCTTAAGAACTTGGTGCTATTCGCATGTGGTGCGTTCTTCTCTTTCCAAGCGGCGTCATCCGTTCTCAGGTGCGTTCTGTGGGTCGTCGACCGTGCCTTGCAGAATATGCCTTTCGACACCTCAATGCTGCGGCTTTTGAGGCTAGCACGCTTGTTGCGATTGGCCACTTGCCTGAAAATTGATTTTTTTTCAGGAGAATTGAGCAGTTGTACCGCGAGACAGTTGGTTCATAGATGCCGAAAACTGCTGTGGGTAGTTTGCTTGGAGAAAGGAAAGGAGACTTCGGTATATAGAGCAACTGCTAACCATGCACTGCTGGATGACAGCAGCATTTGAATGTTCAATGGCTAAGTTCTTGCTTTGAGTCGATCGGAGCGCCTCATAGGTGGAAGGTCGTAGGTCTCATTGAACTGTTCAAGACTTCAAAGGTCTCGTCCTGAGATTCTGCGAGGTATGGTACCTGGTACCTGGTATTACCATGGTTGAACGTGGCAAAACCATTTTCCATGAGTTGTGGTGTCTTCAAAACGTTGCCTGAGTTCATCCAGGTACTGGGCCAATCAACGGCACTTACTTAAGGCATCTTAAGTCTTAAGGCTGCCTATACTGTACTACAGTACTACATGCTGAGCCAGCCTCATGTGAAGAGTCTTCTGAAGAGTCCTTTAGCGGTAGCGACTCACTGAGTTTGTTCATTCGGTATTTGTAAGAACATGTAAGAACTATAATCAGAGCCCTCAACCACAAGCAGAGCTCAAAAGGACTTGGAATGAACAAAAGCGACTCCGGTCCTAGCCAACTGCCTGACTGCGCCCCGATTCCTGACTGATCGCCCAGAAGACACCGGTCACTTGGACGACCCGGTCTGGTTTGGACCGGTCGCGCCGCCGCCTGAGTCACTGAGGTGAAGTTGGCTCGAACGGTGCAGGGATTTGATGCCTTGGCCGTCATGACCACTTCCTTGCAGGGTGTCTTGGCCCAAGAAAGGGACTTGATCGATGTACCAAGATTCATGGATTACTGAAGTTGACGGGAACATGATGGAACACTCTTCAGTTGATCAATGGGTAGTTTTCTTGGGTGGCAATCCCTATGTGCTTTGTTGGGTGATTGATTACTGCATTGGTTTATTTGAAGGTTTGTTTGGGGTGGTGACGGCATGCAAGGGCTTGGCCTTGCAGACCTGTTTGCCCAACACATTGTCGCAGATTCGGCACTGTCAGAGTCTCATCTAAGTCGTGTCAGCTGCAGAAGCAAGCCAAGGTTCAGTGCAGGCACTTATTTGGGTTGCAGCACCTTGGATTGCATTTGGCGGAGGATTGGACTCAAGTGCTTATCAGGATCATCAGTTGATTGTTCATGTGCAACACACGCATGAAGCAATCAAGACGTACTACAGACGTACTACTGAGAAAACCACTGACATCCACTGACTAGTGTGCAAAAACTGGTATCATTACATGCATCCGCAGCGATGGGAGGGTCCGCATGTTTGATAGGCATTCCCTTTTCTATTGCTGTAATATATAGTTCCCAGCATGTGTTACTTTTTGCCATGTCTACAGGGACGCCTAGTTAGTATTGCATCCTTTATATTATATATATATATTATATATATATATTATATATATACATAAACGGTCCCAGATTCAACAAACCTCTGTGGTCAGCAATCATCAGTGTTGCATCATACGCACGCAATTATTGGACCAATGCGTAGTTGTTTGCCCTATTTGCCCTTCTAAAGGTGGGCAGACTGGGCGGGATCAAAATCAGCAGGTTGCTCCCTGCGGGCACGTTAAGACTCTTGATTCTCAGGTGTTGCTGATCTTGGTGCAGATGACCTTTGCACTTCTTCTCAGCCAGGCATGTGAAACACATGTGAAAACACGTCCAAGTTGTAGTTCGGGGTAATAAGATAGTCAAGACATGTCAAGACAGCAATCTGTGCGTTTCCAGTTTCTGTCCAATACGAAGGAACAGCGGTGCTTTGCAGTTTATTCAGGTGCTGCTCTTCTACATCGAGGACGATTCTCAGGAGCTGGATGACCGCAAAGCCGTTTTTTGAGTACTTTGGCAACTTCACACGGCAGCTCGGCGGTTCCAGAGCAGAAGCGAAAGCTTTGATGGAGTTCCAATCCATGAGTTGGCAAACAGCGTAGGTGTGGTTTGGGGAATTGTTGTCCATTATTCTTTGTGTTCTGTCCATTCCCAGCAAAAGTTCGGCTGCATAGCCCTTCAGTTCCTCCTCCACGCGGTTGCTCAGGGCCATGTTGACGATGTTTGAGATCACTCTCGGAAACTGGCCTCCAGTGGCGCGGCTCTTGCAGGAGAGCCACGATGAGCCACACGGTCTCAACTGGGTGATGTACCCCTGGGTGCTCCACCCGGACGGTGCGTTTGACTGAGAGGCAACTGAAAGAGGGGAGAAGACTCACTGGAAGGGCTCCTGTTTGGTGCTTGTGTGGACATTGCAGACATGCGAATGTGTCAACAGATCGACCGGCAGGTGGAACAGATGGGGCAGGGATGAAGACTGATTATATACTGTATGTGTTCTCTAGAGGCATCTAGAGGCCTTTGTTGCAAGTGGTGTTTCATGATTCTAACCCAGTCGTGTCGTAGTTGAGTTTGAAGGGGTGCAAGAGAGCTCAAACCAGACGAATGGCAATGGTGAAAATCAAAGACTCGAGGACATGTTCAGTTTGTGCCGCCATGTACTGTAAATGGAGGCAACTAACATGTTTTCAATGTCTACGCTGAAGTGAGTCTGCTGCAGTAGCTCATAACATGTATATATTATATGCTTGTTGTTCTGTATCTAGGCACTGGGTTGCACCGCATTCTTGTCGTCACCAGGAGAAGGTAAGCCCGTACTTTGTGATCTTCAGCATTGGGCACAAGATCATTTTTGGCCGCCTTGACTGCAATGAACACAGTGACGACGGTACGCTGAGAGTCAGCTGATGACCCTTACAAACTCACTGGGTCTCCAAGCTGGAAGCCCTTTAGTTGGCAGCTAGGATGCGATGAAATTACATAGCAAGACACAAAGTTACATGGACATTTCATGAAGTTGCATCGACAGCTCCAGGAGCATCCGAGTTTTGTTGGCTGAGGTTTTGCTTGCTTGGCCGTCATCAACGGTGTATTCATGCAATTTGGTCGCCAAAAGGTTGGTGCTGTTATCGTTTGTTGTTTCTTGGGTTTTATTGTATCAAAGTTTAACTAACAGTACACTTCAATGTCCCTAATATTCTTGGAAATGTAAGGCAAGAGACCTTCAAGGTTGCCCAGCAAGACGACCAGATCATGCTCAGGAAGCCATGACACGTTTCTGGTTTCATGTTCAATGTTTTCGGCCGAGGACGAGGAAACGGTTGCATGATTTGCGCATGGTCGTCGGGTTTCATCGAACGACCCTTCAAATGCAGGACCGTGGAGACCAAACGACAAGCACACAGGAGCCGAAGATGAAGTTCGAGTGTTTTGTCTCGGGCAAGAAGTGTTGTGCCTGTCTACGAGGGATAGTCTACGAGAGATTGTTGAAGAAGTTTCTAGTCTTTTGTTACTTTTTGTTGGTTCGGAGGTCCATGCAACTTGGTGAAGTCACACTTGGTTTTCCACCTTGCTGGTCTATGTCAATGTGGATCTTGCAAGCAGCAAATAGGATTCCGTAGAATTCGCTTCCCATGGCGGGCTGGAATAGAGTGGGCTCTTGGTGAGGAGAAAGATGCAGATGTTCTTCCAACATGCAAATGACGATGATGACACCCGTCTGCTTGTGGCCGTGTTTGGGAGTACTGGTGTTACGGCTTGTCAAAAGTCTTTTTCTGGAAAATAAACAAAGGTTGCAGCGGCTCAAGCCTCCGAACTGCAACAGACAGCGACTGTGTCTTCACTGTTAAACCGAAGACTCTCTGAACTCGTAGCACAGGACGCAGCAGACAGACAATCCAGTATACCTTTCCGCAGGAATGAAATGGACTTAACATGTCTGCAACAATTGGAACAAGAACTGTTGCCTAAGGATAACATCCTGTCGATCGAGGAATGGAAGGAAGTCATCAACGAGGAGAAGGCCTTTCTTGGATCAAGTGTGTTCCCAAATTTGCAACAGCTCTTTCTTGCACCATGTGTTTTCCATCAGTTTTTGTGAGCTAACCACGAGCAGACAACCTACCGCTTGTTGTGTTTTTTGGAATGCCCATGAAGAAGCATGTTGTGGGCAACAATTGAGAATGCAATTCACAAGCCTCCCGCTACAGCAGTGCTTCCCGAAAAAATCGTAGATGCAATTCTTCAATCAACAGGAAGACACCGGTTTTGTCAATTTTCCGATCATACGTTCGTCAATCGGATCCACGAGCTGCTCTCCGATCCGATCAACGTGCTCCCTTCACATTGGTTTGCGGCAGGTCAAGCATTGGTTTGCGGCACAAGGGCTCAGCATCTCCGACCCTGAACTGCTTTGGAAGATCTTGGCGTCTTGACACCGCGTGGGTGCAGAATGCGTTCGTGGGGATGGAAGACGGAACCTCAGGTTCCGATGTATTCTCGATTTCAGCAGGTTTCAGCGGTTGGTGTTTGTTAATGTCGCCGTGTCGTAATAGGTGTATTCGATGATTCCACTCGATGTATGGAAACCTTGGCGTCGATGTAGATGCACTTGGTGTTGATGGTACCTGCATTGTCATGGATAATGGAGATCCTTTTGGATGTAAAGAGGCACATATGGAGATCTTGATGACTTCTCCTTGAATCGATACGGACCGGCCGGTTTGGAAAATCGGACTGGCTTTAAGAAGACCACCTGAGCCCTGCATGGCATTCACATCGTCCAAATGGGCAGGAAGAGTTGGTGAAACTCTGATTTGATTGGGTGTTCCACATAGCATGCTCAACAAAAAGATTAACATCTCAGTTGATCTCCACTCCACTTCCCATTTCGACTTCAGGACACTTCTGGAGATCGCCAATTGGATCTAGAGGAGCTCATCCAAGGAACCGCGCGCTTGCAAGGCGAAACCGCACGTCGACGGCACGTAGAAGGAAGAAAGACATGCCAAATACACCACTGGCAGTACCACTGGCTTGACCTCCAAGACCATGTAGATACTGTTGCTGTCCTTTTTAGCCACAGTTGGTGTGGAGTTCTAGAGGATTGATTCCTGGCATTTTATCTTGTAGGTTGTAAGTTGTCCACGATCATTCAAGAAATAGTAGAAGTGGGTGAAGAAAGCTAGAGTAACTGGGCCTGTTGTCATGAACCGCAACAATTCCACCTGTGAAGGCTTTGCAAAAAGCTTGGACTTGGCAGTGCCTTGGATTTTAACTAAGCTTGGAGAGGCTGTTGATCCCCGTGTATTATCCGAGATCTCGGTTATCGCTTCAGAGGAAGGTGTGATCGAACCAAGCGTTTCTTGAGCTATCGGGTCCACCTTCAATGCCCGTGTCCACTAAAACAATCTAAAGCAGGTCCGGAAGCTCCACAAGAGCATACTAGTTACTAGTAACAAGAACGCTACTAGGGGGGTCCTGGCCATACTACTAGGAGCAAGGACGCCACTAGGGGCTCCTGGCATCGCTACTAGGAGCATTCTTACTACTAGTAACAAGAAAATCAATGTGAGTCCCTGCAGCTTCATTCTTCCAACTGTTGAGGTTCTGACTTTGGAGCAACGCAGTCTTCAGACACAGGCGAAGGCCTGCTGGTATTAGATGTACTTTGGGTCTGTCCTATTACCTGTAACAGTCAGTAAACAATTAATTATCATCATTTTTGAACAAGGCCTTTACTAACCATCATCCACTGTTATAGGTATATATATATATTATATAGGATAGATTCAAGATGTACTCATGACACGGCTCTCTTTCAGCTGTTTCAGCCGAAGTTCGCGCAGAGGGTCCGGGTCGCAGGAGATCCGCCAGTCTGTGGAGATGATCAGGCAGCAAGTGGGTATGCTGTTAAGGCGTGGGCCTGTGGTTTTTCGTGGCAGAAGTGGACAATCCCAACTCACTGAAAGTTGGAATCTGGAAGAGTCTTTCAGTAGTGAAGAATAACAAAGAATGATCAGGTCGTCTCGTTTGAATTGTTTCGAGAAGTGTTCCACAACAAAGCCCAAGCTTCAAGTCTTCAGCGGGCCCATGCTCCAACGTTGGCGCCTCATCTCACGCTCCAGGACAAGTATCGACGCCAGCAGCACGCCTGGGGTGAGGTGTTGAGTGAGTCATCACATAAAAGCCCGGAGGTTGGACAAAATACCAAAAGCACCAAAAGCGCCTTTCCAGGTGCCCAATTTGGGGACAAAAACCTCGAGGTTTACATAGGTTTACACACAAATCATTTGGAGAACAGCATACATCAAGAACAGCATCCTCACTTTGAAGACAGATGACCCTTGAACATCTGAAAAAAGAACACATTCCCCGTTGCGGCCAGCGGGTCGACGATTCCACCCAGTCGGATGTGGGACCGGGAAGAAAGTGGCCAGGTGGGAATTGCAGGACTTTGTTTGGCCTCAACAGCAAGGAAGTTCTTTAGAAATCCGTTCCTTTTTGTTCCCACCTCCCGGCAGCTCTTGGCAGGCTGCTTGGCACCAAATCTTTTTTTTGCCTCGATTCACAATGCCCCGGTGTCACAAAGGGAGCCCGGGAGCTTCTTGAAGCAAGCTGCAGGACCGGAACCCAAGGCCAGTCTGAAGCGGTTGTTCAAAGCAACGAGCCCAAACGCCGTCAGTTTGCAGCTTGAGACGGCTTTCCCAAAATAATTTGCTTTTAAGCTGTGCGAAGCACGGCTAGTCTGGGTTGTAAGGTGCTAACCCTAGACCAATGCGGCTTCCTGGTCCATCCTCAAACAGAAAAGCCATTCCAGAGCATCTGGCAGGTCTGGCAGGCCTATGAGGTCAAACCCACCACCCACGACCTCAAAAGGTACGAGGGGAAGGACCAGGATGACCCTCTCAAAGGTCGAGCCATTTCTTGGTGGGATGGTCGGCACATCAAACGCCCGCCCTAACATCGAGCGGTTGCCCCGTTTGTGACTCGATGTTTGGCGACAGGGCCTCAGGGGTTGTGTGAAGCAGAAGCGATCGTGCGAAAGAACCGGAAATAGTGCAGAACCTAGTGCAGAAAGTATATAAGTGATAGTCGGATGCCCTCCATTGTCCTGTCTTCATATGGTTTCAAAGGATTTCAAAGGCATGCTTTAGAGGTTGTGTCGAAACATGTCGAAACCTTGAGGTCTTGGGAAGAACTGGCCCAATTGTACTTGGGGAAACACACGGATTTAACTGTGCAAAGAACCTGTCGTTCTGGTTTGTTGTAATTAACTCGTGGAAGGCCCTTTGGTTAGAAGCTTCTTGGGTGAAGAGCATCAGTTACAAACAAACACTGTTGTAACACATTGAGTAGAAAAGCATGATGCTGCGATAGACCACCGGCCACTGCAGCTTGTGCAAACTGCAGTGTGGTCGTACCTGAAAGCGGGTTGACCGTCAACTGACCTCCAGAGGGAGCGTTTCCATTCCTCCTGTGCGATGGAGCAGACATGTTCTGCGAAAGTGTGCTTTGCACCTAGCACCAAATCCATGGATGCACTCGGTAAGTGTTTTCGCTGCACACTGGGAATGCCAAGGGTACAAGCACGCAGGATTGCTTAGAAGCGGAGAGGCACACATGTTGTCATGCTCTTTGGATGCGGAACACCGGTGCTCATGTTCATCGTCTGGACTTTTCGGATAGCCCCAAATTGCATCTCTGATTTCGACCAAGCTGCAGTTCCCATGAGCGTCAGGGTCATGAGTCGATGGGTTTGGTTTCTTCTCACCCGCTGGGTCTATAGAAAGTGCCAAAGAAAGATCCGTTGCGACGTTTGTGGGTGAATGTGTGCATGTTAGAATCCAAGTACTTCACTCGAGACCATGCGGACCTATGGCCATTTGACAATTTGAGACCACGACGGTGTGCCGAGACAGTGACCTGGTAAGGTGAAAGATGAGACGCTAGCTGCGAACATGCCCAGTTAAACTGCGGCTTCCTGATGTGCACTGAACTAGCCTGTTTTCAAGTGAAAATTTGCCGTGCTGGGGCGCTCCGGAGCTTCTTGTATGATACCACGCAATCTCCAAAACAATTGAGAGTGTCAAGCAGTCAAGCAGAAAGACCCTGAAGAACAGGCTTGCTGCCGATGATGAGCAGCTGGTGAAGACATGCGAAGGCCAGAAGTACTTGGTTCTATTTACTTTGCGCAGGCGATGCAGTCAGATGAGAGCATGATGCTCCAAAACGCTTGTGAGACGCTGGAAGCCCAGATGAGCTCAAAGCTTGCATCCCTATGTTGGGAGGCTCTTCCTGTAATGGCGTTTATTCTTTGGAAGAGAGTTGATTAGGGAATTTGGGAATAGCTGGTCTTTGTCTTCTGATCACAATGACCTCTTAGCCCAGTAAGGAGGATTTCTGAGCTGCGGCTCAGCCAGCTCCTTCATCTCCTGTTCTGAGATGTTCTGAGAAATAGAAAACCATGAAACACCTCAAGATTCATTCTCAGGTTGGTGTTGCTTGTGCTCCTGACGTGCTTGATCCTTTGGTCGGCAATCAATGCAAAAGACCCAGAGAGTAGACACGGAGCCACAGTGTCTTTCCATGAAATCCGTGGAGCCTGAAGAAGAAAAGGACTTTTTGGATGTTGAAGTGATCAGCTTTTTGTTGTGCAGTCGCTTCTAGAATGTACCAGGACCTACCGCCCCGCTGAGGCCAGGTGAGCCATCTGAATGATTTCCACACCAAATCCTGGCGCCAGGTCCAGCGCTCCGCCTCACAGGGCGCTGAGCTGCTGGAGCAACTCCTGCGCTTCGCCGAACGGCTTCTGGGACCTGACTTGGAGGCACGCGTCACAGGGCACAATCCCTTCAATCAAGGGCGTTACTGTACCTTTTTTGTTTGGGGTCACTGGTTCAGCATGGTGTAACGGGCCGCCCTTGGCCGCGTCTCCACTTACATGGGCCCGACAATCCCTCCTGATGGCTTCCTGGGCATTCCTGGGCATGTTGCAACTGCAAACACGCTTCCTTGCACACAAAGTGCATGCCATGTCGTTTGTGTATGGTATGGCCTTGACCTGCATTTCTGAGGGTGCCTCTTTTGTTTTGTGGTTGACGAGTTGCTCAGAGTCTCCAGGGTTCATTACGTTTCCCCCATTTGCCTGTGCATGGCAACCACTCGTTTACTTTGCAGTTTGTTGTCAGAGCGGCAACGTTTTAATGCTATATGATGCTTCGTGTATTTTTTTGATGTGTAGTGTTTGTGTGCAGTGTACGCCAGCTTTCCTCAAGAAGGACGGCACAATTCTATGTGTTGATTTCCTGCAAAGTTGAAACTCGAACACGGAAGGGATATGGACTGCACTAGAGCGCTGACCTTCTACCATCGAAGGAACGTTTGCTTGCACATATCGAAATTTTACCATCTCTGAGCCCTGCAGCGTTTTTTTTCAGGATGATGCATGCCTCTATGTTGGGCAAGCACCCCAGCTACCGGAACTGCTTTCGGGTCACAAGACTTCATTTGGACTTATATATTTTTGTTTGGTGTGGTAAACTCTACATAGATTCTATAGAAAGGAGGAAGAGATGGTCGCTGCTTTGCACTGGACAACAAAGACCCTGAATCATGCCTGGATGTTGCTGCTGCAAGATTTTAGACTTCCGGTAACTTCCGAGAAATGAGTCGAAACTCAGTGAAAATCACTCGAACGGACAGCGAATTGGCAGCGACCTCCAGCCCATTGGAACGTGCACGTTCCCTGCATTTGCCCACGAAAGGAGAGCCCTGTACAGCCATGGCGTTGCGCTTGTTGACCTTCAACATTTGGTTCTCCCCGCATGAGATGGAAAGGCGGATGCAGGCAGGGCCTCAAGCGGTTGAACATGTTGAACCTTTTCAGCCTCAAATGAGACCCTTTTTGGCAACCCCCCCAGCAAATTGATGGAGAGTCGGGACCTTCAGCCGATGCACTGATTCCTTAGCGAGTGGGGATTTTGATCTAGAATCTCCAGCTAACAGAGTTCCCCAGCCCTGCGAGGCGATCGGCGACATCGTGGCGCGGACGCAACCAGACCTCGTCGCCCTGCAGGCATTCGACCGGGTGCGAACGACCTGACGAAGGGTGCGATGTTGATCCTTCAAAGTAAATTGAGCAGCGTCAAAAGACGCGAAGAAAGGATTTTAGGTGAGGTTCATGGCCCGTAAAAGCCCACGAAAGCCTTGAGAAAGCTTCGCAAAAGTGACATTTTGGATTTCTTTTGTGAAAGCTGTTCTGGACTAAATGGTTCCGCTGCAAAGGTGGCAAGAAAGTAGAAATACTGGGAAATGAGGCCCGAAAGCAAAAACGCAGGTCGCGAAAGCGGCGGGAAAGCATTCGTGAAAGACCTAGCTGATTAGAACATATTAGAACCATTTAGAACCCCACCGCAACCAGGTGTTCGACAGCCCAATTGACAAACATACATGCGTTTGTTTCTGAGGTTTCGACAAATTACAATGGGCCAATTGACTTTCAATATCAATGGTCAGGCAATCAAGCTTCAGTGTTACTTCAGTTGCTTCTACTTCTCTTTGTTTTATGCCAGGTATACCGTAGTCTCTCATGAAATATTCACAATGTGAATATTTTTCGGTAAGACTAAAGGCTTCAAGGCTTCTGTAGCACCGCCAGTTTTACCACAATTGTGCCATATGTGGGTGTTGACAGTCGCCTATGTTGTGTTCAACAGAGCCTTGGAAGTGAGACCAAAAGCTGTTTCCCCCGCTACTGTGAAAGGCTTACCAAGTAGACTCAAAGTGGGTCACAAGATGTTTCGTAATTTGCCTAATTACTCATCATGACTCATCATGACTGATGACCCTGTTCTTGAAAGATATGCGATGCCAATCTCTTGCCAGGAGATGACACAAGACCACTGGGCTTTGCTCGCCTCACATGAGGCGGTCGGCAGCTACAGCTGGTCGGAGTCGCCCAGGCAACGACCGACCCAGTGAAACAAGGATAAAGGACTACCCCGAACATGGACGAAGGAGTGTGACTTCGAACATGCTGATCAGCAATGCTAAGATTGGCCAACATGCAAGCCCATTTTTGATCCAAGGTTCAAAAACCAAAGGCAACAGAGTGATCAGGCAGAGATACTACACCTTGATTGGGAGCCGCTTGCCAATGGTGACTACGCCACAGCGATTTCCCTTCAAGGCCAGAGCGCTGTTTGTCAACATGTGAAGAAGCTTTCCACCCTCTTTCGCTTGTGATTTGCTTGAGCCATCTTGAGCCATTTTGAGCCTTTGACAACCTTGATTTTTTGCAGAGTTTTGGTGGACCTTTGGTGTGTTTGGTGCAAGTGGGAATATCAGTGCATCAGAGTGTGATGTCAAATAATGAATCATGAAACAACTCGCTCTTAGCTTTTGGCACAACAAACCTTTTTGTATACTTGTACTGATACTAGTACTGCCTGGTACTGTATACTATGCAAGTCTTGTGAGTGCACAAGTACTCAGAGACTGTATACATGGTTGTGGCAGGCCAGCAGAATGCAGAGAGACTTGCTCACAGTCACTGCACTTGGGCAGCATCAGCACATCCTTGGTGCCTCATGTGGCTGCTCCGAAGGGGCCTTCTCAAAGATATATGTATATATATATAGTATATAAATTATATATGCATATACTACAGTGGCGTTCCTTTTCTCCATGTCATCGCTCCAAAATAGATGAGCGCCAATGTACAAACCGATTCTTTGGTTTGCTGTGTTCATCAGTGCCTACGATCGAGGTGAAGCCACCAGAATTGCCGGCATTGGTGTTTGCCACCTCCCACTTGGAGTCGTTAGACGAGCATCAGGCGGGGCAAACCTGCAATAGCACGTGTGATTTACAACGGCACCGTGGTTGAAATCGAGCACAGCATGTTTCTGGTACCCTCGAATTTCGTAGGCCAAACCTTGTCTTGCCGGCGTGTTCAGTTCCCAGGAGCGGCGCCGGCAAATGCAAGAAAGCCTTCAGGGCCATTTGAAGAGTGCGGACGACGTCGTGTTCTGTGCCTTGGAAGACGGAGGACTCGAGGACGTCCTCGCCCGTGCGCGTTTCGCAGTCCTCGCCCGTGCCCGAGCCGGGACACGATGGACCAGATGGACCACTCTTGGTGTTTGACAAAGTGGATCGCTGAGACCATGGATGAAAGGGATTTGGAGGAGTCTACTAGTAGCTTCAAAGACCTCCTAGTAGCTTCTTGTTAATACAGGTGAAACAATTCCCAGTGTTTCCCAAGGAAGCTTCTAGCTACTAGTAGCTCCTTGATGAGAACTCCTTGGTCGCTCCATTTGAGATCCCTCACATGTTTCTTGTACTAGATCCACAGAAAGCACGCTGAGCAGACGCTTTGAAGCCTCAGTAACGGTACTTGTACGGTTCAGAGAGCTGCTTCAGCCGAATCTGAGGTGGTGACACAAACATCAATGAGGCCATTGATGGAGAGATAAGGCTGCCAGAAGGTTGGAAGGAGCTACAGATTGTTGGTTGGCTGGTTGGCTGGATCCAGTCCTTTGCGAACTTTCAGAATTATTTCTGGAATCCGATGGACTCAATTCTTGAGCTACACACGTCTACTTGCATTTGTCCATGTCAGGTTACACTGTCTCTACCATCCACTCTCGACTCAAGAGGGGGGGGGGGAAATGGCAGATCAGCCCTAGGGCCCTAGGCCTGGTACACTCCAACTGGTGAACTCAGTCTCAGGTTTACATTCACTTAGTCCGCCTAGGCCTGTTTGGTTTGACTTCCGCAACTGTGAAGTGTTTTGTCTTTCTCCAGCAGGACCCGTGGATTTTGCTCAGAGGTGATGAAGGCGCGTGTGAGCGTTCGATTTCCCTTTATTTCAGGCGTGAGGTGGTGGAATCATGTTTGTGACGTGTTTGAGGTGTTGAAAGATGTTCCCAGCTGTAGCTAGTTTCTGCAGCATATCATCATAGCAATGTCATCCGATTTGAAAGGGTCAGGTGGTAGTAGGTAGGAACATGGAACTACAACTGGCCAAAATGTGTGCTGTCGGGTTCTGTGGATTGGGCAACACTAAGGCTAACTTCACTAGGGTACAGTCATCGTACCAAATACCTCGCGGTCCTGGTTTGTCAAGAGCTCTGGTAATTCCGATTTGCTTGCAATCAACTAGCCAAAGCAGGTGACATGTTTTAGGCAAACTGGAGACTGACAGATCTGTTTTGTTTCTGTACCCACAGCACTCTTTTTGCAACTTCCATACAAGAGCCGATGACACGGTGAATCGTATGAAAGCGAACACCGCTGTGCCGGTAGGAGGATATACCTTCGATGTAGAGCGCAACAGCCACTCGATGAGAAACGTCAGGCAGATGTATCTTCTTTGGAATGACTTTCAGGAATGGGTGACATGGATTCTATCCTTTTTGCTTGGATGTCATTAGATACATGTTACCGAGTGTTGCTTGGTACTTAAGCTTGTTGAAGACTAGCGCCTGTGGTCTGCTGGGATTGGGAAGAGAGGTGTTTTCTTCAGTTGTGGGCTTCTGTGGGACAGCATTAGTGCACCAGATTGCACCTGTTGCTTTGGACTGGGTGGCTCGGAAGAGACTCATTTGAGCTAAGGCATGATGGCTGAAGTGGATAGCTGGGCTCGCAGCAACCATGCACGGCTCCGCTTCGATCGCTTTTGGATCAAAGTGGCGCGGCATTGCAAAATCTGGGTGTTCTTTGTGACTGTCACTAGCTGTCCTAATGATCTAATGGGCAAAAAGAGCGCAAAAATATATTGGGGTGAAATATGGGTATCCTGCTGCAATACGTGTGGGCTTTTGGATGCTCACTTGTAGCCTTTGGTTGGCTCGAAACACATCATTTGCGTTGATCTCCACCAGTGGACGTCGATCCAAGGTATCCAATTATGCACCAGTGGCAATTGAACTCCTGGATGATCCTATTCAGGAGCAATTTTGAAGAGTCCGGCTGAAAGGTCAAAGGAACGGCAAGTTGACATGTTTGTACAGGCAATAGTCACATTCACTCACGACAGCTCCCCTCTCCTTTTGTTTGCAAGCTTGCAAGCTTAGACGGAGAGTTTTACACTGGCACTATCATCTGTGCAATACACTCATAAAACATCGAACTCATACCACAGGACAAAGTCTGTACCCACAGAATATCACGCAGCTTGGCTGCCACCCCCACTACGCGTGGGCGGGAACATCCAGGAGAAGCTGTGGCCAAGCGATCACTTTGCTCTCCTGCTCACCTTGGAGGTCCTTTGATCTCCGCGGCGAAACATGCAGGCGAAGACTCGAAGACAGCCCACAGAACAGGCTCAAAACATCAAAGATAACCCTCGGTGGACACACAGAAAGTTATGTAAAGGGCGATGGTGATTAACTTCAAAAAGCCAAAGAGCGATTTGGAAATTCACCAGCGAGTGCTTGAGTTTTGCCCAAAACTGTTATTCAAGATTCTCTTGGAAGGGAATCTATATAGATAAGTTCTGCTCTTATAGCCAAGACAGAATAGCCTAGCTATATATAGATCTATATAACATCTTAGCACTTTTCCACCCTCCTGATTGTCAAGGGAGTCAAGGCATGTGTTTTGCAGGAGTGGCGGCGACATCGTGGAGACTTACCCGGCAAGCCCACTTGTTCGCTCTCGTAGAGAAAGAAGGATCGAGGAGTGTTTGATTTGACCAGCAGGCAAGCATCAGTGAACATGACACAATGAGAGCATCCTTGCTCCTAGTAGCGATGCCCTTTGTTACTAGTAGCGTCCTTGTTCCTAGGGCCAGGAGCGCCCCTAGTAGCGTCCTTGAGGACACAGCCACCACGAGCAAAAGCTTGCCGCACCAACTTTTGGCCGTTCCACACACTTGATGCACACATGCTTCCACACACTTGATTCACTCAAGGCCATTGGCCATGCTCCTTTTTGCAAATTATGGCCCGGGCCTTGCATGGATGACCCATTCGTCGCACTGATCACTGTTCGAGTCAGAGTCGCATCGTCATATCCAACGCACTCAATTGTTGAGTTTCATCGGCCCTGAGAGATCAGGAACTTGTGAATACTATGAGTATCATGTGCCTTTGGCCACCACCAGGTAGGATGCTTCCAGCCCAATTGCAGGCTGCCAACTGGGGCGAAGCATGGCGAAGCAATGATTTTGAATGCATGTAAATCTTATCAACCATTTCCACTACAGCCACAAACGATACCAAGTTTCTGACTTGAAGAACCCTCAACTGAAGAGGAACTTCCTGGACCCCTCCAGTGAACAACTGCTTTTGGATGGCAACGTAATCATTTGGCACCATCACAGGAAACTTCTTGGTGGTTGTTATGGTGGAAATGTTGGATGGGAAGTCGGAAGTAAGCAAGTGCTGATCGTTACAAAATTCACGCTAGGTCCCGTAGTTTGCCCTAGTTTTGGGCGAATCAGTTTGGATTTCGGCAGACCCTTCTGAGTCGGCAGACTCTTCTTTCGGCTTGTTCGGCTTCCGCAGTCCTCTTCGTTCGGGTGACAGGTGGGGCTCCTCCAAGCCTTGGTCTTGCGCCTCGCTCGCGCGGAGCGGCCATACTTGCGGCAGGTCAGGGGCATCGGAGAAAACAGGTGAGCAAAAATGAACACGAATCCGCAAAAAAGCCCAAAAGCTGACGAAAAGGACACGAATGAAGACCCAGTTTGCAGAGTTGTAGAATCTACAAACCGATAGACTCCAATAGACATGAAGGTTCCAGGTTTGCAACTTACTTTCTGCAAGAGCACTTTTGAGATTCAGACTTACTTTTGAGATTCAGACTGGCCGTTATGTCCATTGAAAGAAACTGCTCCTCCTGAAGTCTTGAAAGATTTGTGGTGTGGACATCTATAGAGTTGTGACCACAGCCGTCAGAAATTGGATGTTCTCTTCCCTATTCATCTCTTCAGCCAGGAGCTTGTGGTGGTCTTTGCGAGGCTTCTTCACGAGGAGCAATTCATACAGATGGAGTGGTGGTATCAATGCATACAGCTATTGCACATGCAAAGATACTTGGTGGGCTATCCCTTCATAAGCCATGTTCTGTTAAACTCCAATCCGTTCAACAGCTGGCGCCAGTCGGTTTATGTACAGGCCACCACCTTTGGGATGAGCACTTAATGATTTGTCAGCTCCTGAATTGTAAATGGTGCCTTAACAATCGAAAAATAGAAAGACGAAGTATTGAACTCTTCTAGCTGTAGCTGTAGCCAGACCTCCACAATGAGGTTCTCGTTCGGCTACCGTTATCAAGATAGAGTGCCCGTTAGGCGTTAAAAGACTTGGGCGACTGGTGACACATTAGCACTCAACCCTGGAGGACCTGAACGGCTCGCTGCAGGCTCTTGCAGGCATGGAGGTGGGCACAGCGACACAAGCCATGTGGCTTTGTTTTTTGCGAGGCTTTGATTCATATCTGAATATATGAGGTGTCGCAATCGAAGAAGGGGAAAAGCATGGAAAAAACAGCCATTCCGTGGCCTCAGACACTCATCATAGATGTCATAGGTGCCCGCAAAAGATGCCATTCGTGGTGGCCTTGAGTTGCTGATGTTGGGGCCCAGGGCGCTGCTGTTTCAGGGCCGTGGGGTCTTCGACCAACCAGGTCCCATTTTGGCACATTGACATGGTACATGAATTCAAGGCCCTTTGCTGTGTGTTGCGGAGTATGCTGGGTTATGCTGCAGATTTTGTTTTTACAAGGAATGCTTAGCAGAACTGCAATTTCTCGCACTAGGCTTTCCTTATCATGAATAGCTGCTAAGCTGCTAGGATGATGTACCTAGAAGCTTAAGAGAATACAACAGTGCAGAATTTCCAGTACTGTATCTTACGTTCACTGGTTCATGTCTAGTTTAGTGTCACTGAATAAAGAGACATGAAAGCCTGAAAGCAGCACATTCACCGGAAGTACATTGTGTTTGTTTAATTCTTTTCAGGCTTCCTTTTCACTTGATACCTTCCACCACTCTCCAAGGTCTACGTGGCTGGCTGTTGTTGGTGCTCTCAGCGTTCATATGCATTCATCACGTGCGATCTAAGATCGCGGACATGATGAAGTGACCACAAATCCACGATAGCACCTAGCAGCCTTGCAAAACTGTTGCACCAGTCACTTGATGAAACAGTTCCATCCAAGCGATTTCGTTCACATCCACTGGGTACCGTCACTCGAGGCTCCTGAGATCCGTGCACGGCGTGCGTCCGGGTCTCCAGAGTCATCAACTCCCAAGTAAAGGTCAGTTTGGGCAACTATGTCACGTCTGCCAGACGAAATACGCACAGGATGGCTTTGTCAACGTGATCATTGTGATCATTGTGCCTCCACACTCTACCGATCTCGAGGCGTAACGTGACGGTCTCTGCACTTTGCCGTGTGCACGAGCGCAGTAAGGAGGCGAGACGGTCCATCCAACTGGGCACAAGGTCCAAAGGCGGCCAGCGCCAAATGGTTTGATGGTTTTATGTCAATTGATGTCAATTGACCACACGGGTCATCCCTACTTGTCGCTGGTCACGTCGCGCCACCATTCATGCTGTGCGGCTCTGCAGTGCTTTTGGGCAGGACTCCCAGCTCCGAAGTCTTCTCGGAGAGGTGGGGCGGTCTGGTGTTTGGCGCAGCCTTTGCAAGGTCTTAGCAGCCTGAGAGCTTTTAGAATTTGGGCAGAAAGGAAAAGAAAGGTGTGGAAAATGGTTTAGGCCCTGTGCAACCCACGTTTTCAGATCATTCCCAGAGTTGGGGGGTGGGTTTGAGTTTGATATATGGCGGAAAGAATCAGAAAGAGAGAAGTGTACAAGCCTCTTGTGGACTTGGCACAAGCAAGAATCACCCGGTTGCTACTCTTTACGGGGCATAGTTCTCTCTAGCAACTGACTCTGTTGGCAGGATCCTTTGACCCATGCTGCCCATTCTTGTTGGGAAATGCCATGCGGATGGTGTTTGGACGTCTCAGGCAGCCACACCAGAGCGGCCGGGGTGCCAACTTGCCGTGTACACGGCCACATTGCACCAGCACTGGAGTCATAGGTAGCGTCCTTGTTCCTAATAGCTTCTTGTTCCTAGTAATGCCAGGAGCCCCTGGTAGCGTCCTTGCTCCAAATAGCGATGCCCTTTGCTCCTAGTAGCTTCTTGTTACTAGTAGTAATGGCCTAATAGCGATGGCCTCCACCTAATAGTGTCCTTGTTGCATAGTATATAAAAGAATGTAAAAGAGCCTTTGGGCCAACTTCAAAGCGACAACCCAGTATATAAATGTGCTGCATTCCTCCTTCAAATGCACAGTCACACACTGCGGACTTCATAACCGATAGCCTTCTTTCGAAGGGCATAACCTCAGCTTCCGCAAAGAGATTTCGAAGGGCACTTCTATGCTTCATTGACGCCTTTTTAGCAATGGCCACAGATTTCTCTTAGCCTCCTCAAGCCATTCTGGGCTCAGGTTGCTTCAAGCCATCCTTTCGGGCCTGGAGTTCGAGAACCTCCGCTGCGGGTGCGCGGGGCTTTGTAGGGGGGAATCCCTTTGGAGGGCTGCAGGGTCGGACACCAGTGGGACAGCCCTGTGTGCAGCTTGTGAAGGCACAAGTTCACGAACATGTAGGTGTCCAGCGAATCAATCGTGACTGAAAGCAACATGTCGGACACTGCGCTTTCAGGAATTTTGTTTGAAAAAAAAACATGTATGTATATATACATATATATATATATATAATTCCCTCAGATTCCCTCAATCCCCAAAAGAGCTGGATAGTTGATGACTTTTTTGTAGCATGATCTCCGAAAGGCGTTTTTTTTCACATCCTGCCGGAGGCAACTTCGAGAAGCCGAGCGCAACCAGGTCCTTGAAGACTCGGACGAGGAGGATGAGGTGAGGATGATTAGAATTTGCAATTGTTATGTTCAAATGCCGAGGTTCAGGGTAAACTTCGGGAGGGAGGCGGCAACACGATGTAACACACTACACCAAATCTCTCTTGAGTTACTTACAAATCATCTCATGTGCTGAGAACTGGGGGCGCACCAGTTTGCCCATTTTCGCAGTTGGTGTGACGCTGAAAACAGGGGGGTTCATAGAAGGAAAAGAGAGAGAGAGAGAGAGAACAAAGGCTGCCCGCGCTGTATTGGTTGGCGAGAAATTGAAGTGTTTGGGCAGAGTTGCACCAAGCTGTTCACGACCGCTGCGGTCATTCTTGTTTGGCTTCGCCATGCTCCAGGAGGCTGATGATGAGACCCGGAAGCAGAACGTCCTGTTGTCCGACTTCCTTGATTTGGAGGAGATTTTTGGGGACGGGGAAGTAGAGCGGAGTCATATTCTGGCATGGAAGGTTAGATTGGAAAAGCCTCAAAAGAATTCATCTGTTGATTTTTGCGGCGGATGCTGGCCAACCAGATCGAGGTTTGGGTGGGCAGAAAGGTGCTTGCTATGGTTCATCCAATCTGCTCCAATCCTTCTGCCCACACTTTCCAGCAAGCCAAGAGTGCAGAAAGGTCACCTGCAGCGGCGTAAAAACAATTGAGACCACTGCGACCCACTCGAAGCACCAGGACGTGGACTCAGATGGCTCTGAGGGAGATACATTCCAGGTGGGCGAAACCACGGGGTTCACGTTGGCAGGTTCACGGACGGTTGGCACCCACGAGGTTCCAAGTTGGGCTCTAATCCCACGGTTGTCCACCTAGTCCGGCCCGTACGTTGAAATCAACCAGCCTAGACGAAAGGTAGCATGACTTGACAATTGATCCGTGTCATTCTAGAATTGGATGTTGTGTTCTGGCATACCGATGCCCATCAATAGCAAGTCAACTAAAACCTGTGTCAACGTTAGATGTAGGTCAAGATGCTCGAACAGAGCGAACCACCATCAGGTGCATGAATTGAATGTGCATGGTACATCACTCGAAAAGCCCTGGAGACGGAGACGCAAGTGGGACTTCCATTCAACGGGTGCCGTTCCGCGGCCAGTTTTGCTCACAAGATTCTCTCTCTCTCTCTCTATCGCTTTGCAATGTGTCCCCCAGTTTCCTTTTTCATGGGGATCGTGAAGAATGGCGTGCAAGTCTTCCAGACGGGCCGGACATGCAAGTATGCATACAAGTGTGCGATGGCAAAGCACTACTGCGCCTGAGATTTTGCAACTTGTGCTGAGTTCATCAGTTTGTATGTACATTTTGAGCTTTTTTGTTTATCTTGAAAAGATTACAAATGAGTCCATGAAACTGTGGATGAGTGCTTCAGCCAAATGCCATAGGAAACAGGATGAAAGATGAATTCATGCATGCCACGGGTTCCTACACAGCCCAAGATCCATCCCTAACCTTGGTGTTCCGAGGCAGCTGGGCAAGTCGCACGCATGGCAAGCCGTGACAGAAGCTTGCTCTCAATAGCTCTTTTTGCTGCTGAGTCTACGAATGCCATGTTTGTACTTGGGGCCCAAAGCATGCATGTGCGGAACGTGCATTAAGATGCTGGCATTCTTCAGCGCTTCTCGGCCATCTCAGGAGCGCTTGCAGCTTCAACCACCCACCAGTTCCTTCCTTAGAATTGCTTTGAAGCGCGGCCTGCACAGCAGATCCGCATATAGGCGTGATGTACCCCGAAACGATGGACCATTACGGAGGTCATGGGAGGAAGGTATTGATGTTTGTGCGGATTTGCCGTGTTGAACCATTTCAATGAACACTAGAGTCTTTGAAGCAGGATTGAAAGACCCTCTGAGGCAAGCTCCTCAGCGCTGCCATCAGACACCTGTCCTGTCTTGGGATGCATGGGCAGATTCTCCATGTGTTTTCTCTTTTGTCAAGCAATGGGGGCAGCACCAGTCATGATCAGTCTAGGGAGTCTAGGCGCATATGGCAGCAGTGCACAATGGCAGCTGGCGCTGGACACCTTGCAACAGCTGTGCTTGGAGGATTTGGAGCTCTTTGGCCTTCAAAGATACAGCGGAAAGGCAAGGGAAATGTTGCTTTCACATGGCCTAAGGGGAACATGCTGGAAACTCTAGCTTGAAGGAACCCCAAGTTTGTTTGAGTTTCTAAGGCCCAATGTCATCAGCTTCAGCGCTTGCATGAATGCGTGCGAGAAAGGAAGCCGCTGGGAGATGGCCTTGTACCTTGGAGGATCGCAGACATAACAAAAACGTGCGGAGCTTTCCCACGGCGTTCCGTTGGAGTCCTTTCCATGGCGATCAGCGCTGCAGAAGGACTCCATGTAGCGCGTTCGAGCGCGTTGTGCTCGGCCCAATTTGGTGATTTAGAGTGCCCTTTTTTCTAGCAGAGCATCTTAGAGTGTCAAGCACGATTGGGCATGTGGAAATCCTGGTGTTGGGGGTTCAATCTTACCACGTATATATTGGCATCACCTACCAACCCTTGGTCTCTTTAATCTAGCCTCTGGTTGCTTACAATGCGTTGAAGCTGCATCCTTTCATCTAAGGGATCTGTTGTCACAGATGCCAGAGGCTCAGATTGAGCCCAACTTCATTTCCTTCGGCCCCTGGGCGCAACTTGCTTCGTTTTCGGGCTTTTCCCCAGACGCGAGAACGACGCCTCGGGCCTTCCACGGCGGCCGCGGGCCGTCTGGCGGGCCAGTTGGCACGAGACGAGTCGTTTGAGACGACAGGCAAAAGCCTTCCAAGATAGGCCAGCTGTTAACTGTTGCTGAGGAGGGCAAAGATTCAAATCCATCGTCAGTCGAGAGTGTGACCATGTTGCACGCGGTGGGTGGCACTGTGTTGATACCATGCAGACAGAGTCCTCGGCATTGTGGGCTGAGGCTCAATAGATTGTTTCAGTGGAGCTATCTACTTAGAGAATTGCAGTGAGGCTTGTGATGTATGGCATTGATGGCCGGATCTCTTTGGTGCTGCTATCTAGTTGAGAAATGGTTGTGCCTTCCGACTGCCACTGGGTGAGGGACGACTAGTCAGGTCTTCCAGGCCCCTGCCAGGTTTTTGACCCATACTGGGGCCGCTGCGAGCCCGACTAAGGAACTGCTTTGAGCGCGTTATCCAAGGGTGAAGCCTGGAAAGAAGCTTTGCAGCTCTTGTGCGAGCTACCAGAGAGAGGTCGGCAGAAATGGCTGCTGTCCTTCGCCCTTGCTGAACATTATATTATCTGTTTTGAAATTGGTATACATTCGACCATATAAGAATATGCAGGAAATCCACCAAAATTGGTGGTGACAAATGCCATTTGCATCCAGTCTCTTCGAGGAATACATGACTACATGTGAGGGACAGACCTTCTTGAGGAAATGCACTTCAGCCAGTCTTGCTCCTGCCATTCTCTGTTTGTTTGTGCACCCTGATGTGGAGGTATTGAGACTGGTATGATCAGAGTCTTGGATGCAAGAAGAGACCTCATGATGATCATGGGTTTGCTTCTTTAAATTAGCGCGCTGCTGGTGCAAATAAAACCTGATTCAAACCATGAAAGAGAGATCTTCATGCCAGCTCATGTGTTGCAACTCCGTCGTAAAGGCATGAAGTTACAAGAACCAGAGAAGGCTTCCCTAGCAACTGTTTGATGCCACAAAGGTATGAATGCTGCTCTCAGTGCTTGTGGCCGTGCAAGCAAGTGGCAGGAGGTACGGAGGTATTGTCGTGGCAGTCTCAAAGTCTTCGTCGACAGGTCACGAGAACCTGTCAAAAACTTGTACGCCTGCTTTGAAACACTGAACTGAACAAACTGTAACCTACTAGCAATGGCCTCCAACCTAATAGCGATGGCCTCCAAGCTATTTGCTTTGAAACACTGAACTGGACACACTGTCAATGAGCGTTTGTCGAAGGTACTGTAAGTCATGTTCAGCCTTATACAGCAAGGAGCACATTCCCGGCAGGCAACAGCCTTGTTCTTCAAAGCACACAGGCAGACGTTGCAGCCTTCAGTGGTCAGCCTCTTGATCAAATTCAAAGTCCACCATGTTTGCAAGTCGACATTGTGCATGCGACCCTTGTTGGATCAAGTTATGTGGGCTATTCCAAGTATGGTCAGCTTTCCTTTCTTCCAAGGCTTCAGCGCAGCCATCAGTGCATGTGAGCGAGGTAGCCAATGGGAGTCTGCTCTGTGCCACCTAGATCAACAAGATGCATGTCGCCACACATATCCACACATTCTTGAGACATCAGATCAGAAAAAAGTAAATAAATAAAGAATTATGCCATTCCGAGTCGAATAGGACGTGGCACAGTAGCGGTCCTCGGCATTGGCAGCAGCCCGCTTTGATGTCTTGAGGAAACGTTTGAGGGGAGGTCCTTCCTGAAAGTAGCAATGCTTCAGCAATCTTCAGCATATGTTCAAGACCTTCGCTGTCGAGTGTGTTGCGGAAACAGGACGTCACCCAAATCGGCCTGGACAGGGCATCCTGGACAGGACGGGAACTCAGGGGGTTGGACGTGCAGAGCTAAGGCCTTTTTGAGGACATGCAATCCTCAGAGATCACTCCAAACACCATCAGCTGCCTGGCCAGTTTCAGATGAGCTGTCGGTGGATAATGGTTGCATCACAACTGGGGATGTTTTGAAAAAGTACTGTGAATTCCAGACGAAGCAGTGTCTTCGTTCTCAGAGGCTTCAGTGCTGTCATCAGTGCCTGCGAGAAGGGTGGTCATTGGGCACTGGCGCTACACTTTCTGTCCCTAACAAAGGCTGGGTGAGAAGGGGTAGGGTTGGTACGGGAGCTTCGACGAAGTCGAAGGCATGAGATGAGCATGAGTCGAAGGCATGTGTTTCAATGACACTGGTAAGAAGTGGCCTAGCTTGCTCGCATGGACGGAACCTGCCAATCCCCCAAAAAGCTTCCTTTGTGACAGCCAGTTAGGATGCCGATGTGATTTGCTACAGCGCTGCAATGTCTGCCTGTGAGACGCTTGTCAGAGTTTCGGCGATTTGAGATGAAGCTCAACGACTCGACGACTCAACGACACCCGTGCCAAAAAAACATGGCAAATGGGTGAATTGTGGTGAACTCTGCAGAGAACAAATGGGTGCAGGTGCAGTATGCCCCCTTCTGAGCTTGCCCGTTGTCACATGCGCCGTTCGTCCTAGCTTGGGTGCCGTCCGAGCGTCAGGAAAGGGGAGCAATGGCCATCGGCACTGCAGCTTCTGCAACAGATGCCTTTGAGGCAAGACGGTTGAAAGGTAGGCAGGACGTTTTGGCTTATGAGGTGTGGCATCCTGAGGAGACCAAGAGATCTGCTTAACAGATGGATGATTTGTACTAGTAGAGATGCTTGTCAGATGGTTTGGACTTCAGAGCCACAGATCACGGATGTTGTGTCTCATTCGCAACGGAGGCGCTGTGCTCCCAACACTGTGAGCAACTTGGCAGCCGAAGTGACTGATGACACGTGGGTCGTTTGTTTCGTGTGGCCCGTGTGGCTCGTGTGGCTCGTGGGAGATGGACAGTCCAAGGCTACAATGCAGCCATCAGTGCCTGTGAGAACGGCAGCTGCTGGGAAGAAGCGCTGCAGTTGTTTGAAAGCATGGTCTTGTGATTTGTCTGGAAGAAGAACCTTTGGAGGGAAAGAGAGTGAGGGATCAGGGACATAGACGGGGATAGACAGAGAGACAAAAGGAAGGGATTTTTGTGTAAAGTCAGAATGGCACTTGGTATTCACAAGGTTCGTTTACTTGGAAATACGATGCCATCCAGCACAGACAGCCGAAAAAGAGATCTGATTCATCCTGTTTGTTCCAATCTCAAACGCATGCCCAGCGAGGGTCTCACCCTTTTTTCGAGGCGAAAGCTACAGCCCAACGTACGGATTCTTGGCCGCATTCTTGGCCGCATCGAAAACAGAACAAGTAACAAGTGCATCGCTAGTAGTAACAAGTGCCTTACTAGTAGTAACAAGAAGCTACTAGGAACAAGTGCATCGCTAGTAGTAACAAGTGCCAAGCAATGTCCAAAGCATTGGAATCCTACTGAAAGCGTTTTGTAGGTGTCAATAGAGGGCTGATGTATTTGATCACACTGGCATTGTTATACTGTTATACATGCTAGTCTAGTGATTTCCCCAGCAATGAAAATGCTAGGACCAACCCATTCTCCAAAGCTCTCAATGATATGTAAAGCACCTTCGACTGTGGAAGGAAAGAGGCTTTAGAAGGGCGACCCAGTCCTTTTTGATGACAATTTTGAACCTGAGGAAGCCAAGCCCCCGTCAAGACATGCTTGGCAAGCATGGCTGTTAATTAATGCTTTGGTCCAATCGCATGGCATTAGTGGCAGAGCTTGCCATGCCAAAGAGAACACGTGTTGTTGACTTGCCATCCATTTTGCCAGAGCATCTCGTGAGAAATGGATCTGATCAACATCCTTTTGCAAATTGAGGACCTTCAATGCCCTCATTAGCGCCTGTCCTGGGTGGCAAATGGCTGCAGGTGTGGCAACTCGAGAATCACGGTCAGCGTTGCTTTTCGATGTGATGGGATGTGTTTTCATTGGGCACACCCCGATCCCTATCCCGGTCCAAAAACTCCATGCTCATCCTGGTGGGCTCCAGAAAGCTTGCCGCTTAGAAACCAATGATCCGTGTTTCGTAGTGCTGGACTTGGTGCTGGACTTCCCACTTTGAGGAAACCATATGAGAAGGGCCCGCGGTGTAAACTGTTTGTTAGTTTTGTTTTTTGTTTTTTTTCGGGTTTTGAAGAGAGTGCGTAAGAAGATGAGACATCGGTGTGTTGGGGTATACCGGTATATATATATATATACCTAGCTCAGCAAAAGCCCTTGAAAATGCGTTTTTGAGTACCAAGTGGCATATGTATTTTTATATATTGCAAACTTTAGCAATAGAGGAGCTCCCACTCCCCCGAACAAAAACAAAAGTTGGCAAGTGTTTGTTTCAAGAAGACGCAGCAGCCATGCTCACGCGGTGCTGACTTTGACCTGGTTGGGGAGGCCTTTTTGGTGAGTTACGGCGGCTGGTCCTTGATCCAACCGTGTGGCTTGGCGATTTCTGTGACCACAGCTCCCGCAGTGGGGGAAAACAGGTGATTCCTGAATTCCTTTCTCAACAAGTGTCCACTACATGTGCGTACGTTTCACTATCTAATCCATGCAACTAAATTGGCAATGTGACAGCTTTGATTCTGACTCGAACGAGTCACGAGACAACACTTCAGCATGTTTCAGCCAGCAGTCATGTGATTCAGGGTCAGCTACAATGCATTGATGGGGCGATTGGAAACAGATGGATCAGCTCATTGGGATGAAAGTCGCTTGGATTTGGCCCAGAAAGATTTGGCCCAAAACTTTTGGTCTACATAGTATGGTCTAGTAGAGAAACTCCATCCTAAACTCGGCAACACAGAGCAACCAAAAGACGACCATAGTTCATGGCTGGAATGCAATTATACCATATTATACTTGCTGGTTGGACTTGTTGCTTCTAGGTTGGGGGGCCATCGCCAGTAGGTTGGAGGCCATCGCTCTTGGGTTGGAGGCCATTGCTGGTAGGTTGGAGGCCATCGCTTTTAGGTTGGAGGCCATCGCTCTTAGGTTGGAGGCCATTGCTGGTAGGTTGGAGGCTATCGCTCTTAGGTTGGAGGCCATCGCTCTTAGGTTGGAGGCCATCGCTCTTAGGTTGGAGGCCATTGCTGGTAGGTTGGAGGCCTTCGCTCTTGGGTTGGAGGCCATCGCTTTTTGGTTGGAGGCCATCGCTCTTTGGTTGGAGGCCATCGCTTTTAGGTTGGAGGCCATCGCTCTTGGGTTGGAGGCCATCGCTCTTAGGTTGGAGGCCATCGCTCTTAGGTTGGAGGCCTTCGCTCTTCGGTAGGAGGCCATCGCTCTTAGGTTGGAGGCCATTGCTGGTAGGTTG